TTAATGAATTTTTGTCCTGACCTAGAGAAGTTTTCGGTTTCAAATATATTTAAGTACAACCTCCTCTGCACCCACCCTTGTGTGAAATTTGCTATTGTTTACTGTTAAAGATAGGAGCCCCTGAGGAGTAGAAACTGATAGTCAAACTAGGCCACTGGTGATGAGGAGTTTATGTGAAAATCCCTTGGGGGAGAGAACTGGCTTTTGTTTAAAAGGGGTGCAGGGACTTCAATAGTAGTTACTGAGATTTTAAAATACTAATGAAAACTAGTAAATTGTAGTTGTTAATGCATGTTGATGTATTACTTTTTTTTTTTTTTTTTGACTCAACCAAGATTCTTGACACATTAAGTGAAATAACTCCGGTTATTTTCTCTGTATCTTGACTTAGGGTGATATTTAGTTTTATTTTGTTATTGCTTCAAAGTGTCTCAGCCAAAAAATTAAGAACATTGGGAGAGATGTGAGTAGGTCAAAGGTATGTTTAAATCTTTGCTGGTGGGTAAAATGTCAAATTAAGTTAACAGAGTCTTAAAGTTATTTAGGATTCAGGCCAAATCCAGGCCTCTACCTGGTATTCTTTTTACTAGTCTATATTATGTAGTCAGCAAACTTACGTAGTCAGCAAACTTTAACTAGATAAATACATTCCTTACTTTCATATAAATGGATCACACTTGGGAACTGACATGTAATTGATCCTACAGGGCTCTACTCTAAAGTCTACTTTCTTTTTAAGAACTGAGTCACACTTCTTCTCTTTGAAATATATCCTGATACCTGCCTCCACACCCCCACAGAACTAGTTTCAGCTTGTTCTCATTGCTCTGAATTTTCAAGATTACCTGTTCTTTGCTTTGTATTCATTATTTAAATACCTACACATTACATCTTGCCTATGGGCTTTCTAGTTCATTGTGGAAGGATCTTGGTCTGATTCACATACGCTTTCCAGTTTTTAGGACCAAAGGTAATAAATGCTTTATTATTTAAAGTAGTACTAGGGAACATTAAGATATTCTTAATAGAAGTTCTATGTAAATAATATTTCAACTAGTGCTTTGTTCTTTTTTTTTTTTTTAAGTAGGCTTATCTTTAGTAATTAGAGATGGTTTTCATCACAGACTCAAAGAACCTTAGGAAATCAGATAGTCCCACATACCCAGAACATTACAACTGTGAGTCAGAGGAGTTCACTGCAGTGTGCAGTAGACAGGGAGGACATCCAAGAAATTGTGACTCAGTCTGGATCTTGAAGGACAGGTAATATATGTGAAGGCAGAGAAGATGGGGAGGGCCTTCAAATGGAGACCAGGAGGAGCAACATTTGGAGATGGAAGGGTGCCTGGGGTGATGAAAGCAGGTCATAGGAAGGTCCTGGTGGCCGCAGGATGTACCTGCCAGACCTCCCTTCACTGCCACTTCTTTTGAAAGCAAAGTGCACTGTGGACAAAGTTGTTACTGACGCTTTACTTCCCTGCCTGTAGCAGTTGGGTTTCTTTTCGGACCTTATGAAACTCTTTTGAAGCCCTAAAATTCACAGTCATCTATTTCTAATAAATCCAGTATGTATTTTTTTATTACCTATCTTTTAAAAATAAAATACAGTCAATCAATTTTAAAAATCCAACATGGGTAATCTTGATATAAAGATTCGTTTTCTTTCTTGGTGGTAAGAACTGTTTTCCTTTTCAGTTATATACCTAAGTACATCATTTTTTGTGGGAAATATTCATTGAATTCATTCATTCAGTATACCTTAGTGCCTATTGCATGGCAGGCATTGTTACAGAGATTCTGTACATTTGCACACATGTAGCAGTGGAGACAAGTCCCTATTCTCATGAAATTAATTACTTTTTAATGGAAGGAGATGTGATAAACAAGCATGCTCTGTTGCTGATAAGCCCTAAGGAAAAAGTAAAGCAGATGAATAGAGGTATTATCTTAGGGAGGAGACCCTATAGACAGTCCTGAATCCGGAATGCTCTAGGTGTTTCCTGGGAAGAGGCAAGAGTCAGAAGATTGGAGTGCAATGAGCCATGGGAGAGAGAAGACTGGAGGGGCTAGAGGTCTAGAACAAATAGGACTCTAGAAGTTATTCTGGGTGAGGTTTGAAGACTTTGGAGGGTGTGAGAAGAAGAGCAGCTGTCTGGCTCAAATTTAAAAAGGATCATGCCAGTTGCTAGGCTGGGACATTGAAGACCAAATGTTATGTGAAAACTTTGGGAGCAGCGTGAACAGAGGTGCTTGGTGAGCAAGGCTGTTGGTGGATTCTGGGTCTATTTACGACACAGTATAGAGCTGGCAGAATTTATCGGTGGGTTGCATTGTATGTGTATGAAAGGCGATTTTTAGCCAAAGCAACGGAAAGAATTGTTATTTACTGAGATGGGAAGACTTGGAGAGGAAGAGATTTGGTTTGGAAAAGGTGGGGAGAGGAATTGGAAGTTAAATTGAGTTAGTCATCCAGGACCAGCTGTCAGATAGGTATTGGATTTTCAAATCAGAAGTCAAAGAGAAACATCTAAACTGAGTAGTTGGTGTTTAAGGTTTTCTTCCTGTAGATTTTATAAAATGCTTGTTATATTTATTGTAACAGTTTTTTAAAAATTCGTTTTGTTGCTATTGTAAAGAGGTTTTTTTTTTTTTTTCTTTTTATTATACTTTCTGACTTGGTTTGGTTGTGTTTACCTAGGCTATTGACTTTAGATGTTAACTTTGTACCAAGTCTCCCTACTGAATTCTCTTATTTATAAAAGCATTTCAATTGATTCAATGATTTCTCCTCTCCTTTAACTTCTCTGTAAAATTTTAACAAACTGTTCAGTTCTAAGAAGTACCACTTTCTCTCATGGCTCCATTTGCTTTCTGCTTTCCTCTACTTGAAATATCAATTATTTCTTATCTTTTCCTGTGTTTCTATTCATTCCCTGAAACCCAACTCATGATCCCATCCAGAAAACATTTCTGGATTCCTGAGAAAGTTTCTCTTGTTCGAGCTTTAGCTGTACTATCTGCACACCTGCCTTAGAGCAATCATCAAACATTTTAGTAATTATGTACATATCTGTCAGTCCTTTTGGGGCACTAACCCTGTAGGGGTAGGATCTGGGTTAGATTGTCCTTATATTCCCAGTGTTTATTTGAATCTGCCACATGGTCTGTTACAGGATAAATGTTTATTTAATACATGAGTGGTCAATTTCTGAAGCTTAAAAATGTTTTGAAATTGGTTAAAGTTTTTAATATAGATTTTATGAACTTGTTATATTTATTGTAACACCTTTAAATATTTATCTCTGTCATTATTGTAAATCTTTTCTAAAGTTCAATATACAGGGTCCAGCGCAAATAATGCCCCTTTTTTATTTCAGAATCTTCTATTACAAAATCATAAGCATGTAATTCTGTAATGTAACAGTATCATACTCAAACACACCATATGACATTTTAGGTGAAATATTCAAATTAAAACTATAAATTGTTATAGCCATATTATTACCCTACCAACCAAACTCAAGCAGGTGTTACTTCTGGCAGACCCTGTATCTTTGCAATTGTACTCCTAAAAATTAAAGACCTATTATTTTAGAAAATTAATATAAATGCAGGAACATTACTTCTGTTTTTTTTTTTTTTTCCCATGATGCTGAGTCCATAAGGGTTGTTGGATTTGTGAGAACTTAAATTTTGAAACAACTGAAGAGCTGGATGTTATATAGTTACTTACAAAGAAGCCATTTTACTTGTTTGACTTTTATTTTTGCCTAAAAAATGGGGAGAAGGAGGAATTAAGTTTTATAATTTTCTGACTTGAAAGCAGTAGTATGTGTTTTTCCGTAAACAATCAACATTTTATAAGGGTAACATTTTCAAAAGCTCTAATTTGTAGTACTCATATGTCATTACTTATTTTATATTTCTTTTTACATTTCATTTTTTTCAACCCATCAGATCACTGAATTTGCCCATGTGAATTTTTTCATGATGTCTACTACCTATTTCTGTTATAAATCTATTGAAGGGTTGTCCTAGTAAGTGACACTGAAATATATTTACTTGAATAATTAATTGTAATGTTTTTCATTGAAATAAATATAATTTACCAAATAACCAATTACAATTTATTGTTCACTGCTAAGTGCAGTGGGAAATACAACATGCTTCCTTGTAAGGAGTTATAAATGTAGGCAGAGAGATGAAACTTGTACCCAGAAAAAAAAAATGTTACATTTATGAAATGTGTTGTCTGTGTTATAGAGGGAGAAACTGTGTAAGGGGCGGCAGGGAGAGGGTTCTTGGGGTTTATATGGTTAGAGAGGTGGAAGACACTAGAATGGAAACAAATAGAATGAAAGGCACAGAGGTAAGAGCTATTACGAAATATGGGAATGAGATACTGAGCTCCATGATTTATCTCATCAAAGAAAATGTTACACTTTTGCTTTGCTATAGTGAACACACATTAATTGAATTTAATGGAGGCAAATATCAGATCTCTTTGTTGTCGTCTTTCTTTTATTACCAAGTAATGTAGGCATATTGTTGAAAACAAAAAAGTGCGATACAAAAGGCAAAATAGAATTCCTTGATTTCATTATTGTTATTAAACTAAGTTAACGTTTTGGTGCATTTTTTTCTAGATGTGGAAAACATATGCACACACATTTTGTGTTTTTATTAAATTAAATCATATTAGAAAGTTACATTTAGCCCTGGCTGGTGTGGCTCAGTGGATTGAGCACCGGCCTGCGCACCAAAGGGTCACTGCTTCGATTCCCAGTGTAGGGCACATGCCTGGGGTGCGGACCAGGTCCCCAGCAGGGGTTGCACAAGATGCAACCACACATTGATGTTTCTCTCCCTCTCTTTTTCCCTCCCTTCCTTTCTCTAAAAACAAACAAACAAATCATTGAATAAATAAATAAAATCTTAAAAAAAAAAAGAAAGTTACATTTAAAATATATTTCATTTTTTGTCTTTTGTTTTTATTTTAGGAGAAAACTGAAAGCCAAAGCACCACTTCCTCCAGCTGAGACCAAAAACCTTGATGCCTCTTCAGTTGATGATTCTGTAGAATCCTCTGCTTACATCATGGAACAGAGAGAAAACATGATAGACAAAGACATTGAGCTCTCAGTGGTTCTACCTGGCGATATTATCAAATCTACAACTGTTCATGGCAGGTATGATAGAACAAATGAAATACCATGACTTCCTTTCTGCCATCAATTAATTCCTCTATTGCATATTTTTAATTTTTTTTCTTTGACAAAATAGTTTATTCATCACTCTGGTGATCAATTAAAAAAGTGCTAAAAGGGATTACATTTTTTTTCTAACAATGTTTTAATATCAATACTATGAATTCCACATTCCCAGTCAACTGACTCTTAAAATTTAGAACTATTTTATATTTATTAGTCATTTAATAAGTTTTTTAAAAATAGCCTTTCCCAAAGGGACAGTCGTCAATTATATTGATTTTTTAAGTCAAACTTAGAAAAGCAACCCAATGACCTATAAGAAAACAATTTCTCTTCCTCTCCAAATTACTCTTTTTCTTTTAAGCTATTTCCCCAAATTTGATTTTGCAGAAGTGCTAACTACTTTAATGTTTATGTAAAAATTGGAAAAATGGAATAAAACCAAATGTAATTTTCCACTTCATTTTTGAGTGGAAACTTACATGAGTTGTATGCTTGGTCTTGTTCCACCTTTTCACCTCCAACTACCCACTTGTTGTCAGGTATCCTGCTTTAGACATTTAAGCTGTTATAACCTTAGTATAGTATGTATGTGTGTCTGTGTGCATATATAAGCAAAAATAATAAATAAGCAACATATTGGGTAATGCATTCTTACAATGTGGTTTTATCTAGAAAAACTCATTCAGTATAACATTAATCTTAAAATTTATTATCAAGATTATGTGTGACTTTACAAATTATTGAAAGTACACAAACAGCAAAGTTCAGCATTTGCAAACAGTAGTGTTGTGTATTAAATTCTTATTAAATATAAGTAAGTTACATTTTGCCATTTATTGTCTATTAAAAGTAGTTTTGGAAATCACACACTGAACCATACATATTTAGGAGACCAAGAAACCTGTGACTATCCTGGGTGAGTTTCTGCCTCAGATATAGGCAGTCCCCTGGGTTGTGCCTCTTCTGGGTGAGGAAGGCATCCTCTTCCCTCCTCGAAATAATACCATTACCCTGGTTTTAAAATAATAATGACAATGGATATGGCTGGGGGTAATAAAGGCAATTCCTCCGATTTTTCCTCATTTCAAAGTAAGTTAAAGAAAAATAGTCCACATGTTTCCTAGTTCTTCACTGATGCTGACAGGCAATAATAGTTTCGTTATCAAAATTTCTTCCTGGATGCACCACTCATGTGTTCATATTGCCATCTTCTCTGCCGTCGGTCTTCTGCATTCTTTATATATATTTTTTAAAACTTAAGTGACTTGAATGTTAGAATCATGGTTTTCTACCCTACCCTATCTACCGCCATAATTATTGTAGATTTTTTCACATTCCTCTCGGCTAACTTTTCTTCTCTTGTCTGAACTCTGGAACCCTCCATCCATAGGCTGCTTCCTTCTGTCCCCAGGGTCATGGTAGCACTTCGCTGAAAGCTGCCCCATTACTGAAATTCAAGGGTCCTTCTTGGAACACAATCTTTTTGACATCCACTTTGTCTTTCTTAGTTGGATTTGGTCTTCATTCTCCTCATTAGGTCTAATTTATGACTGCTTTCAGGTTGCTGTATTTTTCTTCGTCTCTAACTTGGATTCTGCATTAATCATTTCCATGGCATTTGTACTTAACAAGGACCCTAGATTTTCCTCACCTTGTTCGCCTTCCAGCATGTTTGCCTCCCGGGGCCCTAAACCTGAATACTTTCCATCAATCAGCTCTTTGTTTCTGGGCTGCCAAACATTGTTGAATTGCCTCAGTTTTCTTATCTATAAAAATGTTTTATAACTGAATTGTTGTTAGGATTAAATGAAACACTATCAGTGCCTGGCACATGCTGGCAACTTTCATTTTTCTATTGAGAACTTCTTCCTTCAACCCTGAATTCTCTCTATTTACTCTCCACCCTCAGGTTAAGCTAAAACACCACTCTGTGGCACTATTTTTGATATTTAAAAAAAAAAGAAAAAATCTACAGGGACAGCAATTCAATACCAAATTAAGGAAGTCCAAACTTCTAAGCCTTGATACTGGGACACCTTATTTTCTTCTCCTCCAAAATTAAGTAGGCTTTTTCCCTTTGAATATCTTGAACTTCAGCCTCATGACTTTTTTTGTTCTACAGACGCACCTTCATGAAAGGTTTTCCATGTAGGGCACCCTACCACCCATATTTTCTCCAGTTAGTTTATGTAGCTCAACTGATGCTTTTATATAAAGGCTCCCTGATCTCTCTGGAATAAACCGTTACCTATGACTTCCAAATTTTTTGATACCTTATACTACTGATGGTTATCATATATTGTCTTATGCTATAATTGATACGTATGTCATATCTTCTTGAATAAACTGCAAGATCCATGTGGCATCATTATCTTTTTGCATAGTGCTTAGCACATATTTGCACAATGTAATTGCCATTTAATAAATTCATTATAGTGAATATTGTTTCCCTAATCCTTTATATGTAGACAGAGGGAGCAACTTAAATGGTGTGCTTTGAAGAGATATTTAGATAGGCCCTCATTGTTTTCTCGGGATATTCTGAACAAAGGTATTTTCTCCAGGTAGAGAGCAAGGCAAGAATACCCCAAATGGGAATGCCCCAAATTCCCATTACTTTTTAATTTTCTTTAGGGTTAAATATTTTTTCTGAGAGTAGAATTTGTTTTATATCAGTGCTTTTTTAAAATATTTTTTTTATTTTTAAATTACAGTTGGATGTACAATGTTCCGTTTCTTTCTGCAACCTTGTAATTAGACATTTATGTTTTATCCTTGTGTAGGGTCTGTGCTGCCAAAGTGAGTGCCACATCCATGTTTTTATGAGGCAGTTTGACTTAGGGACTTTGTAATAGTTCTATAATTCAGGAATGACTCAACTTGCAAACTTGACGGCTAATTTTTTAATATTGTTTATAATTTAAAATGGTTGTATAATTTCAAATGTCTTAGAAGTTTGATTCTGGATTTCTTAGGAGTGATTCTAGATATTTTAGAATGCAATTTGTGTTATCTTAAGATTGTGATTTGTGGTATCTTTAATGTTGCAGCTACTCCTGGCCCCATTGTTTGGAAAAAACAAAAACAAAAACAAAACTCAATGTTTAATAATGACAACAACAACAAAAATGTTCAAACTGATAAGTATATTCTATTTCTGAAAAATGTTAGCTATTGAATGTGCAACCTCATGACATAGATTATAATTTATATTTCTTCATGGCTTTGTTACTATAAACAGATATCTAACTGTGTGATACAGGAATATGGAGGTTGGAATAGGGGAGAGTGATTTCATTTTATTTTATTTATTTTTTATTTATTTATTTATTTTTAGAGAGAGAGGAAGGGAGGTAGAAAGCAAGGGAGAGAAATATTGATGTGAGACAGAAACATAAATCAACTGCTTCTCACAGGCCCCCAACCAGGGACCTGACCCACAACCCAGGCATGTGCTCTGACTGGGAATCGAACCAGCAATCTTTTGGTTTGCAGGATGACGCCCATCCCACTGAGCCACACCAATCAGGGTGAGAAGAATGATTTTAAGTAAGTTTAAGTGCATAAGGTTTCCTTTTACAAGGGTTCCATATGTCACTGTGAAGCGTCTCTAATATAATTTTGAGACCATCTTTTCTAAATATTTTTAAATATTCCTTGTATATTATATTTATTTTGATGGTATCATTTCTATGCATTTTTTTGAATAATAATGTTAATATTAGACTAAAATTAATATTTAGAAAATTTATATTATTTATTTAATATTTTAGGAATTTTTTTTTTCCAAAATGTATTCTTGGGGAAAATTTTTAGAAAGTTCTCATGTGTCATCTTGTGTAACTCATGCAGAGGTATGCTCAGAATGTTCCATTTGTGAGAATGTGCATGCCCAGCATTATCTTCAGAAGAATGCATTTGTACATTCATTTTTTTTAACCAATTACTTATGCAGATTAGGGAACACAGTAAGGTTAGACGTAGTAAAAGACTTTATGCTCAGGGGAAAATTAAAAAGTTTTATGCAAACAGCATACTGTAGTATAGGTATATATATGTGTCTATGTATATTTATAGATAGATATGGATATATGCATATGTGTGTGTGTGTGTGCGCGCGCGCGCGTGTGTGTGTGTGTGGTACTGGTAAAGGACCTTTTGCACTAGAGAGAGCAGCTCTGTGCCTTACTGACAGTGAACATGAAAGGATGTTGTTGTTAGAAACAGGATGCCTAGGAGCTGCCCCCGACTCCTCTCAGAAAATGCTACACTATGCATCAGCACAGGGGCTGGTGTCTACTAGTACTTGGGAAAAGTTAATTGTTAATGAAAACGAGCTTATAAACTAAGCAGTTACAGACACTACAGAGAATAAGGAAATATGTGGGTACATTTTTATATTGCTCTAGGTCCTTACCTTATAGTCAGGTATCTGCTCAGTATGTGATTATTCCTCACTGATTAAGTATACATTCCTTTTTCCTCCTTCCTTTTTCTTCAGGACAATTTTAAATAAGTTTTAATTTTGGAAACTTGGTAAAAGATTGGCATTAACCTCTGCTAGCCTGCAGGAGAGCGTTCATGGCCCTACGAGCACAATCTCCTTCCTAAAAGAGGGAGGAGTGGAATCAATACCATCTACAACAGAAGGAGGTTTCTCTCTTTTCTTCTCATACTGTGGAGAGGAATTTGTTTTACTTTGGGCAGATCTGAGAATGCCATAAATGAAAACACAAATAAAGAAAGCATAGAACTGGAAGTTAGAAATTCCAGGCTCTATGGTTGACCTCCATATTTTGCTCTGTGACTTCAAGCAAGTCACTTAACGCTCTGGTCTTTGCTGTACAATCACCCAGCGACAGTTGCACATGATTTGTGATCTGATTAGTTTGTCCAGTAGCACCGATTTACAGCAGAGTTGAGCCTAATCATTCCCAAGTTTTTTGACTGGCACTTGCGGGTTAGATAAAGAGCTC